CAAGGGTATACAGATTGGTTCTTGGGGGAGGGGATGAAGAAAATCTTACTCTTTATGTATAAAACATAGATATACATACACAGATATGGTATATCTGGGATATTAAAATTTCTTAGAGGCCGGGTACGGTGGCTCACGCCTGTAATCCTAGCACTCTGGGATGCCGAGGCAGGTGGATTGCTCAAGGTCAGGAGTTCGAAACCAGCCTGAGGAAGAACAAGACCCCGTCTCTACTATAAATAAAAAGAAATTCATTGGCCAATAATATATATATAAAAAATTAGCCAGGCATGGGTGGCTCATGCCCGTAGTCCCAGCTACTCGGGAGGCTGAGGCAGTAGGATTGCTTGAGCCCAGGAGTTTGAGGTTGCTGTGAGTTAGACTGATGCCACGGCACTCACTCTAGCCTGGGCAACAAAGCGAGACTCTGTCTCAAAAAAAAAATGTCTTAGAGGAGGAGGAATTGGTTAGAAGGAAATATCAAAAAAGGCTCCTTCGGAGAGCAATACTAGAGAAAGAGAAACGCTGGTCTGGGCCACCGAGGAAGCTTCAGGGCAGGGGTCTTCAAGTTGCCCTTTCAGCCCTACTCCCAGGCCTACCCTCCCACCTGCCCAGACAGGCTGGAAGGAAAGGCTCCTGCTCATGCACTCAGAGGGCATCCCAGGCTTCGCAGGCAGGCCAGGCCCCATGTTGGCCTACGGAGGGAGAGTCAAGAATGCCCTGCCTGGGCCCTGTGCTGCTCCCTGACCCCAGAGTAAACAGGCAGGAACAATAATGAGAGCCACCTAAGGGCCTCCTAGGCTGGGTTGTGAAGACTAGTGTATGTTAGCAGGTGAAGGATGGGGGTGGGAGGGGGAGGGTGCTGGGCAGGCACTCCAGGCAAAGGAACAGTGGAAACCTGGCCACGAGAGAGAGGACAGGGTATGCCCCGGAATCTGCACGTGGTTGTGCGAGGCAGGGCCTCAGGGTGCAGGGTGGCAAAGGGTGGGTCATGAGCAGGCTACGTGGGGCTGTGCAGGACCAAGGACTTCATCTTTCATCTTGCTCTCTTCCCAGGCTTTGTGCTCCGAGGCTGGATGACCTCACCTCAGACAAGCCCACGTTATGAGAAAGCCATCAGGTACCTAGAGCAAGGCATTCAGGACACCAAAGATGTGCTGGGGCTGATGGAAAGGTGAGCAGTGGGGAGGAGAGACGGAGCATCCCTGGCTGGCCACTGGAGCCAGAGGTGCACCAGGTGACCTAGGCCAGACCCTCAGTCTTCAGGTGCCTCATCTGTAGATGAAGAGCAGAGCCAGAGGGGGCCAGAACCAGCCCAGGTCACACAGGCAGCCCAGGCCCAGTCTACTTATCTCCCACTCTTGCATGGGCATAATATAATTTAACAACCCAATCCCTGTTATTTAGATATTGGGGTTGTTTCCAGTTATATACTTTTTAAAAGAGTGATGCATTGAACACATTTATACATAAATCTTCATTATTTAGAATAATCCTCTTGTTTTTAATGAGAAGTCTCTTAATAGAGGGTTACTGCAGGTCTGACATAAGCCATCCTTTCAGAGTTCAATTTCAAGTCTTTTGGAAGCATTATGCTCTGGCCCTCAGGGCACCTGTGTCATGGCTCTCCCAGGAGAACCTGGTGGCTAGCGCTGGCCTGCAGAAGCCATGACCCCAGCCTAGTAGGCCCTGACAGGAAACAAAACAACTCCACAGTCTTGCTGTAGCAGGAGTTGCCCACAAACCCTAACTGACGCAGAGTTGCCAAACTGGGTTTCACTGAGCAGTTTCAGTGATGAAATTCAGGAAAGTGAATGGCAAATGAATGAGCAATTTGTGGTATTGGAACATGCCCAGTGACCCCAGTTCATCCCCTTGGAGTGACCCTCGCATAACCTTGCTATATCCCAGACCTACTGAGTTTCCCAAGCTCAAGGCTCAGCTATCTCCCTGGAGGCCCCTGGCCTGCCTGTCTAAGAGCCCAATTCTGTCATCAACCTTGATTTGTCGCTCTGAGTGATGACTCCTTCCTCCAGGATCTGTGAGGGGCTGCTTCCCTTGGCCTGATGGCTCCCTGGCCCAGCCGAGAGGACCCGCAGCACCCACGTGTCAGGTTCTGATCCTGTCTTGTAGAGACCCCGACACTGACGCCCCCACCTCCCTTCATGGGCGCTGAGGGAGGCTCTTCTCTCTGCCTCCCGACAGGCAACGTACTTCATGATACAGCAGAACTACTCAGAGGCCCTGGAGGTGGTTAACCAGATCACTGTGGCCTCAGGGACCTTCCTGCCAGCCTTGGTCCTGAAGATGCGGCTGCTCTTGGCTCGGCAGGACTGGGAGCAGACGGTAGAAGCAGGACACAGGTGAGCCACAGCACAAATGTCCTGCTCCCTCCCTTTCCAAGCCAAGGGTGCCAATACCTAAACTACCATCTTACAAAATGGGGAGGTAGGGAAAAAGACATAAAGGCAAATATTGCCAATAGAGGAGTTATGAATAGTGTTACATTGGGAGGAGGAGGGAAGGGAGGATCGATGGAAGCAAACTAAGTACCCATCGTAAATTGAGGCCAGGAGCTGTGGCCTACAATGGATAAATCAAGAAATAGAGGGATATGCTTGTTAGTACAGTGGTGAGTAAAATAAATATATAAGTTAATTAATTAAAGAAAGAAATAGAGGGGTAGGCGTATTGTGCAGAAGAGATATGCAGGGAACCCTCAAAGAACCCCCAGCAATGGGAGTGACCAGGAGGAAAGCAGCTGCCTCTGAGCAGCAGCAAGAGAGTGAAGGGAGGACTCTATTGTCAAAGAAAAAAACAACCAAAAAGCACATCCAGGATGCGCTCATTCAGCAGACTCTGGCCACGAATCGATCCAGATATTCACCTCAGGTACGTCTTCTTGTCTCCTTCAAGATTTTTTTATTGTTCTCACCTCATATTGTGTCTCTCTCATTTCTTATGCTCCATCAATATTGCTGTGAACATCGGTCGAGTGCAGCCGTCTCAGCCAGACCCGCCCCACAGGAGGAAGAAATGCCCACTCAGA